ATATGTGTAATTATTGGCAATAATACAGTTATCTTACGCCTAAATTCAAAATATTTTTTTTTATTGTAAATTAACATGTGATTTCTCTCCAAACAACATTTTTTGAATTACGATACTTCATCTGCATTGCCTGCCTGTCTTCCTTCCTTCCGAAAGCAATTCCAAACAGAGGAAAAAAGGAAATTTTCGTATTTGAAAATTTCACTCCCACCAAAAATTAAAACAACAACAGCCAGCAACAGCAACAACAAGTAACGCATTCAACAAGGTGGAAAATACAACAGTTGTTATGTTAGCTATGTTTATATGGTTGTTGTTGCAGCTGTTGCTTGCTACAAGGTTGCAAAGTTGCTGTTCACCGGATCTTGCCGTCGTCGTCGTCATCGTGGCACAAGGTGTGAAAATTCCAATGGAAATCTTTGGTATTTATTTCTTTTTGGGAAAAACAATGCTGCTGCTTATCGCCAATTGACATCAGTTGGCTTAAACAACAAGTCAGGCCGCCAGCCATCTATCCACCACTGACTGTGGGGAACCTTTTCACTCTAACGTCCCTGGGTTTTTTTCTCTGCACATTGAGGAGTTGTTATTGTTGCTGCTGCTATTTTTTGTTAATTGCATTTAAAAACAATGCACCTTGAAAATGTAAAGTTTTTTTTTGTAAATTACAAAATAAAATTGAACTTTATTTTTGCAAATGTTGTTTGTGGTATTTTGGCTTTGCTTGAAATGTCTTCCGTGAGATTGTTAAAATGATGTCATTTATACGCCATATTTTGAATATTACATGGGGGAAAATTGAAAAATGAAAATTTAAGGAAATTTTAAACCAAGGGAGAAAAAGTTGAAGAAAAAAAATTGAAAATTTAAATTTAAGGCAATTTTTAACCAGGTGACGAGGGAGACGAGGTTAAAATGAAGGGGTTGGAATTAGTTTTTTTTTTTTCTTAATAAGACTCTTTAAAGTAATTTTTTTTAATATTCAAGAAGGCAGGTCTCATACATTTTTTTGCCATTTATAAAATGTATTTTTATACCCTGCACCATACTATGGTGAAATAATGATCTTAGACCCAACGTCTTCGTATAGACGTGTATAAAATTTTCAAATTCATTCTAAATGGTGGAGGGTATTCAAAGTTCAGACCGGTCGAACTTACTACTTTTTTACTTGTTTTTAAGTGTGTTTTATTGTATTTTCCACATGAGCTATGTATTTATATATGTATATGTGTGCTAAAGTATATATATGTGTTATTAATATGTATGTATATTAAAATCTAGTGGGTGAGTTATTTGAAAACCAATAAGTGGCGTGTTTAGTTTCTAAGAACATTTTTTAAGGTTAAACCTTTTCTTTCTCTAGGGGAACGAGATGCGTGCAGTTTGTATTTAAATTGAAATTTCAAGGATATAAATGAAATATTAATAAGTTTCAAGTAAAAACGCCATAATTATTTAAAATCGAATTTAAAATGGAATTTGTGAAATTTGTATGGAAAACTCGGAGATATTTAAAATTGGAATAGAAATGAGTTTTATGATTTTAACTTTGTATATGAGAGCTTAAAAATTGGGTAAAACTGAGGAAAGTGTCTATATCCAGAAAATTACTGTCTTAATTTTGCCAAAAAAAATCCTTTTTCATTGAGGTTTTTTTTGGTTTTTTTTTTGGTTTTTTTTTTCGAAACTTAAATTTTTGTTTTAGACAGAAAGTATCAGAATAAGAAATGTTCTACACAAAATTTCACTATAAGTTTCAGAATATATCATACGTCTAAGTAGAATAGTTTTTAAAAAAACTAAAACTTTTTTGTAACAAATTTTTACCACCCAACACCAAAATTCTTTTGTACAAAACCTGCATAAGACCAATAATTAGTTATGCATTTCCAATTTGGTTCAATATATCACCGACGATAATGAAGGAACTTGAGATGCTGGAGAGAAAAATTTTAAGGTTGTGTATAGGGAAAAATTTTAGCAGTAGAAATAAAAGATATTCAAATAACTATATTTATTCCAAATCAAAGTTAAAGCGTTTTTCCACCTACGCTTTTGATATTTTGGATAAGTTTAATTTAAGATTGGAATTTCATGATAATGCTCATATGATAGAGGCAATTAATAGTCAGAGAAACTTTGGGTTGTCAAACACACAATATCTCTCTCCTTTGGGGTTTTCAAATGAGGATCAGGCAGGCATTACCTGCTTTTATGAAAAGGCGCTCGCCGGGACTCATCGTGGGTAGCTATTGCGTACCTTTTTATTATTTTTTTTATTATTATTGTTGTTATTTTATTGTTTTGTTATTTTTTTTGTTCTTTTTCATATGTTTTTATTTTTAGATGTAAGTTTTAAGTTTTAAACCCTAGATTTAAGATTTTCTCTTTTATGTAAAAGTCCCGGGAGCAAGGGCGTCCATTAACACACACCAGATGTTCACATTTTATTGCCTTTTTATTAAATGAAGCATGATGCTGTACAACTTTTCTTGACATTAGGATAATACATTATAGTCTTAAGGATTCCTTTATATTGTTTTTTTAATTGTAATCTTATTGATAAAAAAAGACTCAATAAAATATAACTTAACTTAACTTAACTTAGAATAGTTTTTAAGGAATTAATATTCAAAAATGTTTTATATTTTGTGTTTACATTTTTGCTGTTAATTTTATAAATGTCCAACCTTAGTAAAAATCTCCCATAAAACATTATTTTTTGGACAAAGGGTAAAAGGAGGAAATATTCTGGATGGATTTTCACGATAAGTCATCAAAGAAAATAAATCTATATTATCACTCTATATCCAGAAATACTTGTTTTAATTTGGTCAAAAAAAAAAAAAAAAAAAAACAAGCAAAAATTCAGCTAAGTTCGCCTGGGCCGAACTTTTAATACCCTCCACCATTTCGAAGGAAATTGAAAAATTTCAAAAAAATTTTCAAAACTACCACTTAAATGAAAACCGTTGTATAGGGACTATACAAAGACGTGGACCTGAATACGAAATTGTTTGTTATAGGCTGAAGGCCATAATTCGTGTCGAACTTCAAATACGAAATTTGTTAAAATTACGGTGAATAATGTCGCAAAAATCATGCAAACACGGAGTATCAGGAGGTAACGTCATATGGAGGCTATACGAAGATGTTGACCTGCATACGAATTTTTTGGCATAAGTTTCTTTCAATACGAAATTTGAAACAATTCCTGTGATGATAATGTTGCTGACATCGTCAAAATACCGACTATCGGAGGGTACCATTATATGGGGGCTATACGAAAACGTGAACCTCCATATAAAAATTGTTGTCATAGCTGTACTACCCGTTACAAACTTTAAATACGAAATTCGAAGTAATAAGAAGAAAATACCGAATATCGGGAGGTAACGTTATATGGGGGCTATACAAAGATCTGAACCGGCATACAAAAATTTTTGCCATAGGCTGTAGTATCCATTGGTATCTTCCAGTACGAAATTTGAAACGATTTCGGTGAATAATGTTGCTGAAATCATCAAAATGCCGAATATCGGAAGGTACTGTTATATGGGTGCTATACGAAAACGTGGACCTGCATACAAAAATTGTAGTCATATGATTTAGTACCCATTAAGAACTTCAAATACGAAATTCGAAGTAATTCCGGTAAATAATGTCGTTAAAATCATGAAATTACCGAATATCGGAAGGTAACGTTATATGGGGGCTATATGAAAACGTGGACTAACATAGCCCATTTACGAACTTAACCTGCCTACTGGTAAACTATGCATGTATGCAAAATTTTAGCCTTCTATCTCAATTCGTTCGAAAGATAGCGTGATTACAACAGACGAACAGACAGACCTACATCGTTAAATCGTCTCAGAATTTTACGCTGATCCAGAATATATATATATATATTGTAGGGTCTATTAGGAATATTTCGAGGAGTTGACAAAGTTAATATAACCTCCATAGAAAGGTGGAGGGTATAAAAACAAGTTAAAAAGTATCAGTTGGTTCTTCCGACAGACGTATACCCTCAGCCAATGTTCGATTATTTAAATATATTTTGACTTCTGATATGATTATACAAACTCTTGACCCTCTATGGAGTGGTCTCTAAAGGAATGGGCCAAAATTGTCTATTTCATGTCGGGCATAAATAAATACGATATAAATATTGCGACGTGCCAGGGTTCCAGAAGGAGTGGACCGATATTGCCCATTTACGAATTCAATCTAAGTTTGACAAAAATATTAAGATGTACGAAGTTTGGACCAAATCGGATACTCCCAACGAGAGTTATCGTGCACACCAGCCAGACAGACAGACGGACGGACGTACGGACATCGCTAGATCGACTCCAAATGTTCTGAAACGGATTTGGTCCTAGGGTCTAAAACCGTTATTTCGACTAGGCACATTTTGAGCGTATCAAATGATATATACCCTTTCTAGCCATGTGGCTGAGGGTATAAAATTTTTTTCATTCTCGCTACCATTTGGGTGAAACTTCAAGTAAATTCATTCGTATTTGGTTTCGAGATAAAATCGCCAGAGCTGAGCTCTAGATATTGAAAAATATAAATAAAAAATCGACACTTTATGGAGGAGATATCTTCAGATGGGATGTAAGTTTTAGAAAAATATGTATTTTTGGCTGTGTCTACGATTTGGATGCATACCAGCCCGCTATATCTTACAAAAGGTTACATCAAACCAAAACGATATTTTTCCTTACAAAATCAAAAATATATCCAATTTTATTACAGAGCCCAATACGTTTTATTTAAAAAAAATCGAGGAATTTTGAAATGTTCACACGAGAATATAATATTTCATATCGAAAAGGGGATTCCCTCCAGAAGTTGCAAAATTGAAAATTTTTGATCATTGCCTTCATTTTGCCTCTATAATCAGAATATTGGAACATATATAAAATTCAATAATCGAAAAAAAAATATTTTCCAAATATTTCAAAAAACTCTTAATATGTACTTACATCGATCTTTAAGGCGGGGTAATGTTGGCGATGGTATGTGTTTTAATTTCCGACCCTTGCGTATTGAATCCATTAGCTGTTCACGCGGCGATGGTGTTCGCTTGATGGGCGGTGGGAGTTGACGTTCCGATGCCTATGGAAATAACAAAAAAAAAGTTAATAAATAATTATAATTAAAATTTAAAATTATTAACAAAATTGCAATGGTGCATTGAAAAAAACCCGTTGGGGGGTAATGAGGCCAACTTTTTTCAAAGTTTATGGTAATGAAATATTTTTACGGTTTCACCCTTGCCTTAAATGGTGGAAACCATGAAGGTTTCAATTGAAGTTTTTATTTATTTTTTTTTTAAATATTTCAAAATTTACCTAATGTGCTTTGTATACGGCAGATTTATTTCAAAGACATAAGACCCACAACCTTTTTATGTATGACGACTATATTTACAACATTTTTGGTATATTATTGATATTTAGTAAAAATATTTCAATGTGCAGAATTTGGATAAATTATTTTATAAAAATATGGAGTCCGACCCAGAGATTCTAAACATATTATTGTGTTAAAAAAGTAAAAGGGATTGTATTGATATTTTTTTTCCAAATTTTTATTAAAGACCTGTATGTCGAACAACGTGAATGCGAGAGAACAACATCTATTCTATCTGTGCTTCTAATATCCTCAGTCATATGGCTAGAGGAGGTATACAGGGTGAGATAAAGACAAAGACTGCAACAAAGTCAAACGTCATAATTTTTACATTCTTCTTTAAATTTTATTAATTGAAAGCAAAAAATTTCAGAAGCATCACATTTTAGAATAACTTTAGATTTCAGTCACACGCTGCCCGAATGTTGTTCTGCGCTATTTTGGCTCATTCCCGGCAAAGCGATTGCTTGAGATGATCGACACTTTGGTATTTTTTAGTGCCAACCTTGCTTTCCAAAATACTCCAGAAACAATAGTCCAACGGATTGGTATCCGGAGTCAAAAGCCATAATTTTTACAATTTTTTGTTAATTTTATCAGTGAAAGCAAAAAATTTGGGAAATAGCATCAAATTTTAGAATAAGTTTAGATTTGTTCGAATTGGTCATCTTTGACACGAGTTATGGCCTTCAAACAGCCAATGAAACCGTCACACGCTACACGAATGTTGCTCTGCGGTATTTTGGCCCATTCCCGGAGAAGTGCTTGCTTGAGGTGATCGACACTTTGCTTTTTTTTAGCTTTCCAAAATACTCCAGCCATTGTGCACTGGAAATGAAGCGAAGAACCTCATTTTGTAACCATTCTTGGGTGGCGCGTGCTGAGTGCGATGGTGCTTAGTCCTGTTGAGTCCAAGGTCTGCGGTCAAAATGTTAGCGTGCCCAAGGCTTTAATACACCCTCCAGAATATTCACGCGATAATATTCGGCATTTATTCTGATGCCACGGCCGATTAATACGAGCGGAGAGCGACCATCGGCTGTTATGGCGGCCCACACTATCACCAAGGCCGGCGCTTGAGTTCTGGTGGCCAACCGAAGGTGCACATTTTCAGCTGACCTCTTTGGCAAGTAAAAACGATAATTTTGTTTGTTTACAAACTTCTGGACAACGAATGTTCTCTCATCGGAGACGGAGAAAACCAAATTCGGCAGTTCACCACTTTCGGCCAAGCGAAGCAACTCTTTAGCTCTTTTGAGTCTATTTTCTTTCTGTTGCGGTATAAGTTCTTGCACTTTTTGGAATTTCAATGGCTTTACCCCGAGCTAATTATTCAATATTTGCCGAATGGAATGTTGAGATATCTTCAGATCACGAGCCATTTTTCGGCCACTGCGACCGCTTTAGGACAAGCAAAGCAACTCTTTAGCTCTTTTGAGTCTATTTTCTTTCTGTTGCGGTGTAAGTCCTTGCACTTTTTGGAATTCCAATGGCTTTACCCCGAGCTCATTTTTCAATATTTGCCGTATGGAATACTGAGGTATGTTCAGCTCACGGTCGCTACGACTCGGGTTTCGACTTCTTTACTTTTCGAACCATTTCTGCTGATGTTGCTGTTTTCTTCCGTCCATTTCCTTGACGTCGCGCTACGATACCAGTAACACGGTAACGAGCGATGGTACGAGACACAAAAGATTTTTTCACATTTAAATACTGGAGTGCTCTACCGACAGCCACTTGTGGTTTCCCAGCCAAATATAAAGAAATCACACTATTACCCTTGAATTCCATCACGAATAACTTTTTTTCTGGAAAATTCTCACCAAAATGCTTTTGTACGTTTGTAAACAATATAATGAGCTGTCACTGGAATAATTTAAACAGCTGTCGGTCGAGTGGCTTAGAAATGACAGCAGTCTAAAGTAGGTTGCAGTTTTTTCATCTCACCCTGTATATCGATTTACTTCTTCTTGTATCTCCCCCACAAAGGTTGAAAATTTGGAATTTCCATGAAGCTCAAACATGGCACATCTCAATATTTCCATCAATACAAGTTCTGTTACAAAGATGATAGAGTTAATCGAACAGTGGCTGAGGGTATACATCTGTCGATTTTTAACTTGTTTTTTAATTTTTGATTTTTATTCTAATTTTTAATTTTTTACAGGTCCTTAATAAATATTTCCCAAAAAAAAAAAATATTAATACAACAATCACTTCACTTTATCTCAATATCTCTAGATCCGACCTACAGACAAGTTTTGTAAAAAAATAAAAAAAATATATATTAAAATAAAAATAATATGGATTTAATCCAAAACTTAGATTGAAATTGAAATTTTTTTACTAAATATAGATCATGTTTCAAAATTTTGTTAAAGTTTCTTTGACATATTTTCATCGGTTCAAATATTTAGATTCACAGTGTCTCCACCCCCACACTCATATAAGAGAGTTGAGATTTTTATCTCCAACAGATGGCAGTTTCATTTATTGTTTAATTAAATAAAAGTTGGCAAATAAAATTAAATTGCCCATTTTTTACGCTGTTGTTGTTTGTTCAACTAACCTTCTTTAGAGGCGGTCGTGACCGAATAAAATCCAATATCAGAGCATGAGCATCTTTTTTCACGCGTGGAGGAATATCACCATTAACCATCACTTTGCGCAACTGATATTTTCTGGAAATATAAAAATTTCAAAAAAAGAGAACGAAAATTAAAATAAATAAAAAAAATAAAATCGGGGGTATATTGAGTGTAAAAAATATAGGAAAAATATTTTTAAAAACATTTATAAAAATTTGAAAACTAAAAAAATTGAAAAATATTAGAAAAAATTAAAAACAAATTATCTATTTATTGCCAAATGCTTATTTATAACATAAATGGATCCACAAAATAAAATAATAAAATAAAACTAAGGCTCAGAGAGTTTTCTGAAAAAATGTATACTTAAAATAAATTATTTTATTTTATAAAAATATTTTCTGGAAATTTAAAAATTACAAAAACAGATACAAAAAAATTTTACTTTTAAAAATCGGGGGCAAATTGAGTAAAAAACCAGTAAAGAAAGTCCTAAAGTCGGGCGGGGCCGACTTTATGATACCCTACACCACTTTGCTAATTTAGTTGAGCTCCACATAACAATTAAAAATTTTTATGGGAGAATTCAATCATACACCCTATGATTATAATTATAATTTAAAGTTCAAAGGACTAAATATGCCGAAGCATTTGTATCTTTTAAATTCGGACTTGTAATGCACATTTGGTGCACAATTAATTTGAAATCGGATAAAGATATATATGGGAGCTATATCCAAATCAGAACCGATCTCCATAAAATTTTGCAAAGATATTTCTGAGCTGTATTTGATAATATTTCCCTGAATATCTTTGTTACGGAGTGCATATTACGGCTGTGGGTAACAAATATAACAAATCGGATGAACAATATATATGGGAGCTATAGCTATATCTGAACCGATCTTCACCAAATTTGACATACTAGCTTCTAGACTAAATTCGGTTCTAAGTGCCAAATTCCATGTCATTTGGAAAAATATTAGACGTTTGGTGCACAATATAAGGTAAATCGGACGAAGTTATATATGTGAGCTATATCCAAATCTGAACCGATCTTGATAAAATTTGGCACATGTATTTCTGAGCTGAATTTGAAATATTTTCCCAAATATTGTTGTTACAGAGTACATATTACGGCTGCGGAGGACAAAAATAACAAATCGGATGAACAATATATATGGGAGCTATGGCTATATCTGAACCGATTTCGATCAAATTTGGTATACTTATTTTCAGGTTCAATCTGATCGTACGTGCAAAATTCCATACTATTCGGACTGATATTACACGTTTGGTGCACAATAAAAGGCAAATCGGGGGAAGACATATGTGGGAGCTATATCCAAATCTGAACCGATCTCGATAAAATTTGGCACATGTATTTCTGGGCTGTATTTGATATATTTCCCCAAATATTGTTGTTACAGAGTGCATATTACGGCTGCGGAGGACAAAAATAACAAATCGGATGAACAATATATATGGGAGCTATAGCTATATCTGAACCGATTTCGAATTCAAATTTGGCATACTTATTTTCAGGCCTAATTTGGTTGTATGTGCAAAATTCCATACTATTCGGGCTGATATTACACGTTTGGTGCACAATAAAAGGCAAATCGGACGAAAATATATATGGGAGCTATATCTAAATTTTTACCCATTATCTCCAATTTCAATAGGGTTCGTCCTTGGGACAAACAAATGTTGTTTGGACAATTTTATCTCAATCGGATAATAAATGCTACCTGCATTTTGTTCACAAGAATACATGGACAGACGGACGGACGGACGGACTGACATGCATAAATCGACTCAGAATGTGATTCTATGGAGATCCTCAAAAGTAACTATGGGTCTATCTCGTTTCCTTCTCCATGTTACAAAAAATGCACAAAGACATTATACCCTGACCACCTTGTGGTGTAGGGTATAAAAATAAAATGTCTGCATAGTCTTTTTTCTCAGACAGCCTTCCAAAAAATGTGTAAAAATTGGCCCTTATTTTAAAATAATTTTATTTTATTTATTAAAAAAATAATAAAAATAAATTAATAAAAAAACAGCTACCAACCTGGAACGTATATCCTCCATTAGAATTTCATACGGTGTCAATTCATATTCGATGGGTGCTCTCTCATAGTTGGCCTTCTTCAGGCGGACGCCACGTCTCAGCTCATCAATGACCTGGACCCAAAAGCGGGCCTGTAAAAAAAAAGAAAAAATAAATAAAATAAATATAAGAATAATTTAATTCAAATACAAATATTAAAAAAAAAAAACAACATATAAAGGTGCCAAAAGAAAAGAAAATTGTCATAACTAAACATCGCACAAACATGCATTAAATTAGAATTAATTTTATTTTTTTTTTTTTTTTAAAAATTTGCTAATTTTTTTGTTGAAAAAATAAATTTGAATCCATTTTCCATTAACTTATTCTTTTTTTTTTCCAAAAAAATTTGCTAATTTTTTGCTGAAAAAAAAAATTTGAATCCATTTTTTAAATAAAATTTTTCATGCTATCTTTTTTTTTTGTCGAACAAGCAAAACCTACTTGTATGGCCCTCCATATTTGCAGCTCTTGCTATAGCAATTTTGTTCATTTTTTAATATAATTTTTTTAAAAATAAAAAAATTAATCAAAAAATTAATAAAAAAAAGGAAATACTGGTCAAAATTAACGGAATAAATTCAAATACACAGAATTTTAAAATAGAAATAATTATGTCCGGTTTTTTGATTTAATTATAAATTTCCTCAGCTTAAAATAAGAACCACAATTATTTTATGAGAAGACCCACTGATCTTCATTAAGAAGTCCGACTGGTCTCCTTTGAGAAGATTTTTTGGTCTCCTTTGAGAATACCATCTTTTGTTCTTCTATGAGAAGACCTTCTGCTGGTCTTCCATGAGAAGACCTTCTGCTGGTCTTCCATGAAAAGACCCTCTGCTGGTCTTATATGAGAAGACCTTCTGATGGTCTTCTATGAGAAGACCATCATCTAGTCTTCTATGAGAAGACCTTCTGCTGGTCTTCTATGAGAAGACCTTCTGCTGGTCTTCTATGAGAAGACCTTCTGCTGGTCTTCTATGAGAAGACCATCTTCCGGTCTTCAAGGAGAAGACCTTCTCCAGGTCTTCTATGAGAAGACCTTCTCCAGGTCTTCTATGAGAAGACCTTTTCCAGGTCTTCTATGAGAAGATCTCTGCTGGTCTTCAGTAAGATGACCTTCTTCTGGTCTTCAGTAAGAAGACTTTCTTCTGGCCTTCTTTAGGAAGACCTTCCTCATGTCTTCTATGAGAAGACCTTCTTCAGGTCTTCTAAAAGAAGACCTTCTACAGGTCTTCTATGAGAAGACCTTCTTCAGGTCTTCTATGAGAAGACCTTCTTCAGGTCTTCTATGAGAAGACCTTCTTCAGGTCTTCGATGAGAAGACCTTCTGCTGGTCTTCAGTAAGAAGACTTTCTTCTGGCCTTCTTTAGGAAGACCTTCCTCATGTCTTCTATGAGAAGACCTTCTTCAGGTCTTCTAAAAGAAGACCTCCTTCAGGTCCTCTAAAAGAAGACCTTCTTCAGGTCTTCTATGAGAAGACCTTCTGCTGATCTTCTATGAGAAGTCCTTCTGGTCTTCTATGAGAAGACCCCCTGGTCCTCTATGAGAAGACCCCCTGGTCTTCTATGAGAAGACCCCCTGGTCTTCTATGAGAAGACCCCCTGGTCTTCTATGAGAAGACCCCCTGGTCTTCTATGAGAAGACACCCTGGTCTTCTATGAGAAGACCCTCTGGTCTGCTATGAGAAGACTCTCTGGTCTTCTATGAGAAGACCCTCTGGTCTGCTATGAGAAGACTCTCTGGTCTTCTATGAGAAGACCCACTGGTCTTCTATGAGAAGACCCACTGGTCTTCTATGAGAAGACCTTCTGGTCTTCTATGAGAAGACCTTCTGGTCTTCTATGAGAAGACCCACTGGTCTTCTATGAGAAGACCTTCTGGTCTTCTATGAGAAGACCTTCTGGTCTTCTATGAGAAGACCTTCTGGTCTTCTATGAGAAGACCTTCTGGTCTTCTATGAGAAGACCTTCTGGTCTTCTATGAGAAGACCTTCTGGTCTTCTATAAGAAGACCACCTTTTGGTCTTCTATGAGAAGACCTTCTGGTCTTCTATGAGAAGACCTTCTGGTCTTCTATGAGAAGACCTTCTGGTCTTCTATGAGAAGACCTTCTGGTCTTCTATGAGAAGACCTTCTGGTCTTCTATAAGAAGACCTTCTGGTCTTCTATGAGAAGACCTTTTCGTCTTCTATTAGAAGATCTTCTGGTCTTCTTTGAGAAGACCTTCTGGTCTTCTATAAGAAGACCAGCCGGTATGAGAAGACCTGTCGATCTCCTAGACCTTCTGGTCTTCTTTGAGAAGACCTTCTGGCTTTCTTTGAGAAGACCTTCTGGCTTTCTTTGAGAAGCGCTTCTGGTCTTCATTGAGAAGACCTTGAGGTCCCCTATACTAAGACCTTGAGGTCATCTAGACCTAAAGAAAGCCCTTCTGGTCTTTTATAGAGAGACCTTGATGCCTTTTATTCTTCTATAAGAGTACCTTTTTGAAAAGAACATCTCCTTTTCTTTGAGACACTTTTTCCTTTTAAGAAACCGCTTTGGCTTTTTGATATCAGAACTTCTGGCCTTCTGGTCTTCTTACAAACGTCTCTCTTGTTTTCTATGAATAAGACCTTTTTGTCTTCAGTAAGAGGACCCTAAACGCTTCAACGATAAGATCTTCCACACCACCTAATTACTATTGTCTCACAAAGACGTAATAATACTTGTAGCTTTCTCTTTGTCAACTTATATTTCAAGCCGCCCAAAGTGATAATATTTCTATAATTAAATGTTCAATACGAATTGATTATAGGTCTATTGTTCCGCCGATTGTAGTAAACTATAAAATAAATCATCACAATAAAAACGTTGGTAAACTAAAACACTAGAATCGATTCTATTTACAGTTGTTGTTATTGTTGTTCGTATTCAAGAACAATAAAAAGTACAAGTTTTTTTTTTTGAAAATTAAGTACCCCTCCATGTTATCAGTATTACAGCAACTACTTCAATAAATTGCGTTCAATATCAAATGAAAAAATAGAAGAATTGTCATTCGAAAATTATAAATCTAATTACGTGAAATCAGTGTGTTCGATTGAGCGAATTTTGAAAAAGGGTGAGAGAATTTTTCGTAAAGAAACCAAGACAAAGAGATAGAACCAGAAATTGATTTCCTAACGCTTACCACCACTGCTTTTCGGCGATGACGTCTTTGTTTTTTGTTAATAGGCTTTAGAGATATGATAAAGGTCTGATGGTACTTTTTGTGGATTTTTAAAATTTTGATAAAAATACAATTCAAATAATTTTTGTGTGTCATTCGCATTTGCATTCAAGGTTGACTGAGTGAAGAGATAATATTTTTTCGGAGACAGTTGGAGAAAAAAAGCCGAATTTTTTAAAAATATTAATTTTTGCCAAAGAATACCCCCGGGGGGTTTTTAGAATAACTTTTCAAGAAAGATTAGAGAGAAGAAGATTTTTAAGAATATTTATACAAGCGCCACCACAGCCCTGAGAATGAAATTTTTTTGGAGAGTATTTTTTAAGGTACAAACATTGTTATTAACTTGGATTTGTTTAAGATTCTTTGTCAAGGACCATCAAAGTCCTTTTTTGAGATTTTGAGACTGGATAAAAATATTTCTTCAGGGATCATCAGCGCCACAAATGTGTATTTGTATAATTTTGTAAGGGTAAAAATACTATTCGTCACATTGGGTATTTAAGAGTAGTTTTCCAGCCGTATATTTTTTTAACGTTTCGCCACACGACCTAGGACCCATTATGACCTACAAATAGCAATTTTCAGACAATCTAATGAAAAAAATGTGGCAAAAATCCTCATAATACCGAATATCGGGAGATACCGCTATATGGGGGCTATATCAAAGCGTGGACCTATACATGCAATGTTTCGCCACCGAAGCTAGAACCTATTATGATCAACAAATACCAATTTTTAGGCAAATCCATGAAAAAATGTGACAAAAACCATCAAAATACCGAATATCGGGAGGCACCGTTATATGAGGGCTATACCAAAGCGTGGACCTATACATACAATGTTTCGCCACACGAACTAGGACCCATTATGACCTACAAATACTAATTTTCAGAGAAATCCGTGAAAAAGTGTGGCAAAAATCATCAAAATACCGAATATCGGTAGGTACCGTTAAATAGGGGGGCTATACCAAAGCGTGGACCGATATATCTCATTTTCAATACCAACCATCCTAGACACAATACAAATTATTCTGCTAAATCAGACGGACGGACAGACAGACAGACCCTAAATGTAAAGTTTCAGTTGATTTGGTTGGAAATTGTGGCAGAAACCTTAAATGTACCGAGAATCGGGCGGAATCGTTATAAGTGGGCAATACCAATTGGTGGACCGGTAACGTATATTTTTGTAAAGAAATAACAGACCCACCAAGAACCCTAAATGTAAAGTTCAGCTGATTTGGCTGCAAATTGCTGCAGAAGCATTCAAAATACCGAAAATCGGGCGGTATTCTTATATGGAAGCTATACCAATTAGTGGACCTCTAGCGAATAGTTTTTGCAGAGAGAGAGAGAACAGACCCACCGAGAACCCCAATTGTCAAGTTAAACTACTTTGGTTGGAAACTGTGGCAAAAAACTTCAAAATACCGAAAATCGGACGAAATGTTTACATGGAGGCTATACCAATTAGTGGACCTAAATTTAATACTTTTTTTCAAGGAAAGAACAGGCCTGCCAATAACCCTAAACGTAAAGTTTCAGTTGATTTGGTTGGAAATTGTGGCAGAAACTTTAAATGTACCGAAAATCGGGCGGAATGGTTACATGGGGGCTATATCAATTAGTGGACCTAAATTTAATATTTTTTGCAAGAAAAGAACAGACTCACCGAGAGCCCTAATTGTCAAGTTTCAGCTTATATGGCCGGAAATTGTAGCAGAAACCTTCAAAATACCGAAAATCGGGCGGAATCGTTATATGGTGATTATACCAATTAGTGTACCTTTAACGAATATTTTTTGCAGAGAGAGAGAACAGACCTACCAAGGACCCTAAATGTAAAGTTTCGCCTAATTTGGTTGGAAATTGTGGCA